AGATATGCAGGAGAAATTCTCAAGAGGTTTGAGATGGAAGAATGCAACTCAACTTCGACACCTGCAGAACCAAGACTGCAACTGTCGAAAGATGCAGATGAAGATGATGTCGACCCAACCTAATACAAAAGACTTATTGAATCATTGAGATACTTTTGTCATACAAGGCATGACTTAGCATATAGTGTAGGTATGGTAAGTAGATTCATGCAGAAGCCAAAGGTAACACATCTAGCAGCAGTGAAGAGGATACTAAGGTATCTAAAAGGAACTTTTGATTATGGCATTTTGTTTCCTGCAGCTGATAAAGGAAAAGAATGCAGGTTAGTGAGATACACTGATTCGAGTTGGTGTAGTGATGCTGAAGATTGAAAATCAACAACAGGATATATGTTTATACTAGGTGGTGCACCAGTTGCTTGGAATTCAAGAAAGGAACCAGTAGTGGCATTATCGTCATGTGAAGCATAATACATAGTTGCTTCTCTTTGTGCATGTCAAGCAACTTGGATGGTGAACTTGGTAGAAGAGATAACAGGGAAAGATCATGGAGCAATTACCATGAAAATAGACAGCGTGTCAGCTATCAATCTGGCGAAGAACCCAATAACACATGGTCAAAGTAAGCACATCGAAATGAGGTTCCATTATCTTCGAGAGCAGGTAGTAGATGGGAAGATGAATTTGGAACACTGCAGAACTGAGAATCAGATTGCAGATATCATGACGAAGGGAGTGCAAGTCGAAGTATTCAGAAGACTAAGAGCCATGATGAACATAGATAGTTTAGACACAATGAATTAGATGGTGTGTTAAATTGTAATTCAGTGTGTTGAAACTATGTGTCGAAGGATTAGCTTGTGGATCGAAGCAAGCTAGATTTGTTTTAGATCTAAATAGATTTGATTTAAGTCTAGAATAGGTTAAGTTTGATTTAGTAACAAAATAGATATTTTGGGCTTTGGGCTTTGGACTTAGGGTACAAGCTTAGTTATAAATAGATAGAGTAATTCCTATTTTTTTGTAAGCAAGTCAAGTAAGTCATTCACAGTATTTTGCAGTTGTAAAGTGAATAAGAAAGTTTTCACAGTTTGTGAGCAGAGAGAAACTCTGCATAAATCATTTGTCTTGTCTTCTTTTTTTTGTTTGTCTCATAATTAAATTATCATTGTGGTAGAAATTCATCATAAATTTTAATGAATTTTCAACAATTTAAAGCGACATAAGCTTCTCACGTTTAAATAAGATTACATTGAAATAAGATATGAATAAATAAGAAAACAACAAATTCTTTCATGATAAAAAGAAATTTAGAAGTGTGAATGAGTGACATTTTTGCCTAAGATGACCCACCAAATGCATGTGTCTGTTTCCATTTGCTGGGTCAGGAAAACTATATTCATTGCATTGAAATAGTTTTCTTACATTGACTTTTGTTTCACTTGAGTTATTTTGTATTGACTAATCAATCAAAAAATTACTTATGTGATTGCATTCACACGTGCTGAGCACAAAATCTCAACCACTTTCAAACAATATTTTAAAGTATGTTTGGATTATAATTTTACAAAATTATGTTTGACTAAATTTTATTTTGTAAACTTAATTTTGACTAATAAGTAAAATATTAAATCAAACATTTCAAACGGATAAAAGAAAATGAAATAGTATTTCGGACTTTGTTTCCATGTAAGAAAACAGTTTAAGGAGTACACCAAACATAAAATTAAAATTTATCTACTCGTAAAAAAATAATTTAACACTAAATGTACTTTTTCTAACTACAAATTAAAATGTTTGTCTCTTATACTCAAGCATAAACAATTTACAGATTGTCATTAAAACCATTTCTCTTCGGATGTCTCTGATCATTGCTCGTTGATTATTAAATATGAAGACCGATTTTGGTTATGTTTAATTTGAATTTATAGTTTATAAACAGTTTATATGATAATAAAAAATTTATTTGATAATATCTTTTCATCACAAACTTTTTATTATAAATTTATAACTTATTTTATTAGTTTATAGTTTATTTTTCAGACGCTATTTTAAATAGGATTTTAGTTTATAGTTTATTATTTTTTCTCTCATTACTATCCTTATAAATTTTAATTATTTTAAATATATATTTAATTATTAATTATAATCTTGTAAAAATTAAAATATTAGGTTAATACAAAATTAGAAGGCAAACGAGCAATAAATTGTGTCGCTATTCTTTTTTTGATCACAAAATCAATTATCTTAAAAATTATATCCATTGACCTAGAAGATACAACATTGTTATTCATAAGTCTTCGAATTCTTTATAAAAAATTAACTGTTTCTGGTGCTAAGAAATTAAAAGTGTCAAAGACAACTAATACTTGTTATTTTACATTTATAAGCTAGTTAAACTACTGATTTTACCAAACATTTTAATTAATTTATCAATTATTAATTATTATCTATAAATTATAAATTATAAATTATCAAACATCAACAATAAATTATAAATTATCAATTAATTTATCATCTAACCGCTAATTTTATCAAACAAGTCATAAGTACTTTCATTTTAAATAAATTTTGGTTAAAGCATAGTTCTTTGGCATAAGTGGTAGAGGGGTCTTGAAGAGACTCCACTACCTCGGGTTGGAAGGCCACTGTTTTGAGAAATAAGTTGAATAACCTCAAAAGGTTGCTTATGTTTTGGAGTAAAGAGGTTTTCGGAGAGGTGGAAACCAAGACTTCTTCTTGTGATAGACTTTTCATTTTGAAATTAATTCAATGATTAATTAAATACATATGTTTTATATATTATATTATATATTTTAATATGAAATAAAATAATAAAATAAACATGTATATAATTATATAATCTACAACATATTAATATATGAAATATGAGATTTCAAAAATACATGAATCCATAAGATAAAATTTTTTTTATAATGATAACAGTAATTCTGAAACGCAAAAGTGTAGAGACAAGTGACCGACACTTGTTGGTTTGTGAATCTTTTTCAACTGATACTCCTAATATCTTGAACACTTTTCAGATGAAGAGAAGAGATAAATTGTTTGTGTACGATATATTAGAGATTATAACTTTTATATAGGGTGATATAAGGTGATGGTCAATTAGGGATTCTCATTATTCTGAAAGGAGTCATCTTGACATCCACTCATATGTGAGCACATATCCAATTAATTAATTAATTAATTAATTATTAAATAGAAATCTAATTATCCTTTTAAACTTTATTTTACAACTAAATCAATTAAGACTATTAATTTGATAAATAGCTAATATAATTCATATAAATATATTTTTCCACATAATAATTATTGTAATATAATAATTAAATAGTATTTAAATATAAAACATTTCAACAATCTCTCACTTGGACAATATATCTTAATAGTTATATCACAAACTTTAGGCACACATATGAATGTTATTTATCCTTAGATCTCAACTTTACAATCCGATCCATTTCATACTTTAAAAATGGGACCATCATGATTGTTGTCACTAACATATAACGTGGTGGAACCCCAAAAACCACCACATTAATGTACTTGATGGCATATATCAATATGGAAGAGTGACATAAAAATTTCATGTAACGTGATCTCTGAATAATTTTTATTTCCAACTGGTCCACCAAAAATATATATTAAGATCAAATTGAAGTTTGCAAATTCAATATTTGCACAAACAATTACGGAAATGGTTATAACAATATTAAACTTATAAACTTTATTTATGCAAATAATCTTGACATAAAATTTGTATCAATATCAAAACAATATTATAAAATATTAAAAATAAAGGTGGCAAAGCGGGCGGTCCGTCCCATTTAAGTCCGTCTCCTTTAAGCCCATCCAAAAGTGAGGCGGGGCGGGACAGATCAACATAGGGCTTCGAGCTCAAAAGTCAAGTCCGCCCCGTTTACTAACGAGTTGGCGGATTGGTGGGTCGGTCCACCAATTTTTTATTCTTTTAATTTTATAATTTGATTTAATACATAATTTAGAATTTTTTTAATTATTACCAAAGAGTTCGATAAAGAAATTTTTTTTAACAACGCATAATAGAACTTCAAGATGTCTTAAGTCCAAACAATTCAAAAAATTGAGTAAACACTACAAGAAAATTGGCAGATTGCGACAGGTATTTTTGTAGATTACGACGGTTAAAACCGTCACAATTTGCTTTCCACGACGGTTGCTTTACCGTCGCAGAAGTGTGTGTCCCCAACCTATTTCGCGATGGTTACAAAAACTGTCGTTCAAGTTTACGACGGGTTGATACCGTCGTGACTATCTTTTGAGTTTCTTTTAATTATTGATGGCGACGGTTCGATACTGTCGTGAATATCTTTTGAAATTGATTAAATTGTTTATGACGACGGTTCGATACCGTCATGACTTTTGTTGATTATTTTTAATTGTTGATTACGACGGTTCGGTACTGTCGCCATGACTTTTGTTTATGTCTTGATTTTTTTTTATTTTTCTATTATATATATTTTTTATTTAAATTATTATCTATGTAAAAAAAATTAAATATAGTTTTTTTTTGTGTTATTTTTTTCTTTAAATTATTTCTTCTTTAATATATTTATTTATAGTATTATTTTTTGTTTTATTTTCTATCACTTTGTAATATAGTAAAAATAATTTCAACTATCTCACCAATTCGGCTGTTCGAATCATGTCATGATGACCTGTTGAGCGAAGTGCCCAGAGTAGGATAAAGAAAAGATGTAACAAAGTTTCTTACTATACATCAAAAGCACATAATGATAAAAATGGCACTAGAGTTTCACCTATTGAAGAAAAAAAGTAACTTCATATGATTGAAAAACAACATATCTAAAAACCAACACTTGACAACTACTAGATAACTGATAAAAAACTATAGTCCTAAAATAGAACCTTAATGAAAAAGTAATAACCACCCAACATAAAGTCTTCAACACAATAATCATCTGAACATAACAACAATGTTAACTGATAATCTTATAGAAATTGATTGAATTTCGTGCAAAGAGGTCTTTTGCAGCTTCCACAGCCTCTGAAACAATGAGATCGCCATCAATGCACGAGTCACGCAGAACTGTGAAAACAACTTTGCGGGCATTTTTCGCACCTGTCACAACAAAACTCGTGATTTTAACCAATAATCTTCACAGAGTATAATCTTTGAAATTAAGTAACATAATAATCGATGTTAAACCAACCTAAGTAGAAGAGTTCAGGAAAGGCATAAGCATCAGTACTAAACATCACCTGCAATAATACAAAGTTTACCCTTTATGAATTTAACAAAAGGTAATAAAAAACAGTACTTTCTGAATTTCTTATAGTGTCACCTTATTTAATGGTGCTTGCTCTAAAAGATCTTTCACTGCAGAAACCATGCCATGAACACTAAGCTTTGGAATAGCCAACCCAAAATCAAGATAAACCTGAATAAGAAGATTGTGTTATTTGCTCTATAATCAAGTGCTAATATAAATTCGAACAAACTAACGCAAGTGACTGAGTTGCGAATTGTTTGCCTGGGAGTAGAGAGAAGCTAGATATGATGCTTCCTTTGAGAATGGATATGATGTATGTAAAAGAACAATCCTACACTTTGCAAATCTCTTGTCCTCAAGAATATTGTGGAGATAAAGAGGATTGGACATTCTCAGATTCAAACCTCTATCTCCAAATCTGATTAATTTTACAAAGTAAAGTTTATGGTAAATTCATCTAAAAATGTATAGAAATCAATAATTTGAAAGCATGCATTACCCTGTGTGTATCTGCATTGGCAAGTCATGTGATTGAGCAAATTCTAAACTTATCAAGAAGATGTAATCAACAAGGTTTTTGTTGCTACCAAGACGGGCTTCCAAACTGAATTATAAAAATAATCAGAAGTAATCTTTAATAAAACCATAAAACATATATTAATAAAACCAAGGTTGTAAAAAGCGGTTCGTTTCCGAGAAAACAGCCGTGACAAAACGGTATTGAAAACCTTGAATTAAATCCATTTTCATTTTCTACTAACCAGATAACACCTGTTGTAGAGCCTCTTCAGCTTCCATTTTGGTGACATTTGTATTGATATCTAAACCAAAATAGTATGCTGCTATGCTTTTCAAACCAACTATCTCACCAGCAACTGTAACATTCATCATGTTAAGGAATCCAACTCAAAAACATTCAACATTAGATTTTTTCAACAACTAAGAATTTATTTTATGGTTGTGTATAGAAAAAGAGAGACAGAAGCTTTTGAAGGATATGATTCCAACTTGGATAGAAATGCAGTAGTGAATGAGTCCAGTGTCCAAGAATATCCATCTGCCAAACCCTTCATCAAGCATTAAAATATAAATATAACTAGAATAGTTGTCTATTTTCAACATATAGTCTGTTACCACGAAAACGGCCGCAACAAAATGGTATCGGAAGGTGATGATACAATGCTGTTATTCACTTTCACAATGTAGTGTAATACAAGGATTGACATCTGATTCTTTGAAGGCATCTGCTTCAATGACTACGGCATTTCCTGATGCTCCTGCCCAGAAAGGTCTGTTTAAATTTCATTCATAAAGAAACAACATTAGGTTCTTATAACTGTTTATTTTGACAATTTCATGATGAGTAGTCTTGTACATCAAAACTCTAAAGCTAGATAAACACTAATGATAGTTGAAACAAGAAAACAACACATTTATGAACTTCTTTTTGGAGAATCTAAACTAGTTAAATATTAATATATACTCAAACAATCCAATGAAATCCAAAGTAACTAAGAATGCATCTCTCAAACTCTTCCACCAACTTGACATAAAGTGAATCAGCATCTGGTTCATTCTCAAAATAGGAATATATATCATCTTCAAACCCTTCATATTTGCTTATGTATTCAGAAGCCAATCTACATATATCAGGACCGATTCTCCTATCCTTGAACCCCATTTGCCTAGCTGTAACAAATCAAAGAAAATGACATATAGATTCATTCCAATTTCCAAATGATAAAATAATAACGGATCCATCAATGTATGTAATTGAATAGAATACATATTTTTTTGTATACCTACGTAATGAGAGAATCTTTCAAGCTTTGGGGGGTGACCTGCACGCGATAATCTTAAACGCGGAATGATCTTTTGATCTCGAATCTTTTTGAGATGATAACGCAATGCTGTGAAAAATATCAACCAAATAGATGAGATTACCAAGATCTGTGTAAAGCTGGGTTTAGCATCATAATCTGAATCAACATTGGATTGTGTGAGGAATATACATTATATATAATACCGTTATTGACATTGCTATAGGAATTTATGAAAAACAAATGGATAAATTTATATACATGCTGATGAAACTTGACTTGTTCTTAACAAATGCATTATTACTTGTCTGTATGTCATCCATAAATCAAAAGCCAATGACCACAAAAGGTGTAATGAAGGATATATAATTTTGTCTCGTTTGCCTTTGTTTTTTTTAACTTTGAATCTGTAATGAAAATGATTGGTACAAACTCACACAAACACAATGGAGAACAGACATGAGGTGTTAGTGCTAATCTTCTTTTACTCCATTATACCTATTTTCTCTAAACAATACACTCTTGTTCCAAATCAGTTTATCCAACATCATGAAACACTTGTTTCTGCAGCTGGAACCTTTGAAGCAGGATTTTTCAACTTTGGAGATCCACAACGTCAATACTTTGGTATATGGTACAAAACCATATCACCTACGACTATTGTGTGGGTTGCCAATAGAGATACTCCTGTACAAAACTCAACAGGATTGCTGAAACTCACTGATCAGGGAAATCTTGTTATTCTTGATGACTCCAAAGGCGTTGTTTGGTCCTCCAATTCATCAAGAATTATGGTGAAACCAGTTGTTCAGCTTTTGGATTCAGGAAATCTTGTTCTGAAAGATGCAAACAACACTCTGAACTTTTTATGGGAAAGTTTTGATTATCCTGGAAACACTTTCCTTGCTGGAATGAAGCTGAAAAGTGATTTAGTTACTGGCCCATATAGACATCTCACATCTTGGAGAAGCACAACGTTACTCATTTGGGTACCAAGAGCCTATGCCCGTTGAGCAGTTGGTTCAATCTCTCTGTGATACTAAGCAGGGTTACACACAATTCAATTCTAAAACAGGACTAGCGTTGTGCCATTGGTGCCAACAATCAGGCAGCACAGTCAATTCTAAAACAGGACTACAAGGATGATATCACAAGGGAAGAAGCAGTTCAACTTGCACTGAAGGTACTGAGTAAAACTATGGACACCACTAGTCTTACCTCGGATAAGCTTGAACTTGCAGAAGTTTTTCTTTCACCCTCTGGAAAAGTTAAGTATCAAGTTTGCTCCCCAGAGAATTTGACTAAGCTGTTGGTGAAGTCCGGAGTGACTCAACCCGCAACAGACACTGCTTAGCTTTCTGTTCTATGTCACGGGTAATTTACTTGCTAAAGTTTCCTACATGTGAGATTGTTCCAAAGTTTCCTACAGTATCTGAAGTAATCCTTGTTCCCTTTCAGCACCTCCCTATGTAATTTATGGACAATTAGAGTTTAATTGGACAGAAAAAAGTGACCACCAACAACACCATTATTTTATAGGACACCTCACTTGTCAATGTTGATTATTGTCAGTTAGAGATAAAACACTGACATCAGTTCTAGAACAATTGAGATTTCAAAATTAATAATGTAGTTTAGTTCTATAATGTGAATGATTAAGTGGTTAACTTTATCTTCAGGACCTTTGACAATAATGGAATAAAGTTTAATAACTTGGGTGAAAGCAATATAAAGCAAAAACTGTTCATATGCATCAATTTCTAGATGAAAACCTTTATCTTCTCTATAACCCTAATTTTCATCAAGCAAAGTTACATTAAGATAAAATTATAGCTAACACAATAAGGGTTTTTGCTTCTGAATTGAATCATAGAAAAAAGAAACATAACCTGTTTGATAGCACTGGAAACAGAGAGAGTGGTGCTTTGATTGAGGCATTCAACACCAATCCAATCTATGAAGCCTAAGAGATCAACCTAATCAAGAGTATATGAACTAGGTTAGAACTTGTGTACCCTAAATCAAATAAGATAAACTTGACGATGATCATAATAGTGAATGATAGAATTTGAATCTTACTTGACCCTTGTGAATAGCGGTGGCGGATTCTCCAGACATTGCTGCTGATTTGTGCGACACGGAATACCTTCTTTGTGCGACTTCAAAGAGAGATCTTCCCCTTTGCTTAGCAATCGAAGGAGGCCAGTACGAAGACCTCTAGAGGACATTTGATGCTTTCGATTGGATATCTCAGATCTGACACGTAGTCGTCTTTATGTACAAAGGAGTTTGTGATTCTGAAAAGAAAAGGAAATTGCGGTAGAATTTGAGAATCTTAGCGCGTGAATTGAAAGAACGTTACGAAAGGTTGAGAACGATCATAAATCTGAGCGGGGTCGGTTCTTAAACCGTCGTGGGATATGATACGTTCCAGCCAAAGGGACGGTGAAAGGAACCGTCGTGGGATATGCTATAATTCTATTTTTTATTGAATATATATTGACATTACTATTATATTATTTAAATACTACTAATATTAATATAGTTACTATTATATTATATAACTACTATTAATATAATTAATAGTTAGTAAGTAATATTATAATACTAATATTATAATTAATTAATTACTATTATTATATTTAATTAATAAAAGTGAAAAGATGGAAAAATAAAACAAATGGAAAAAGTGAGAAAATAAAATAATAACAAAATAATAATTATGATTGGTCAAAGTAGTCGCGACAATCTGTTATACTGGTCGCGAGTGTGGAAAGAGGGCAGTTCTTTGGCAATTGTCTCAATTATGTTACTCAATATGCTTAAAAATCTACGACGGTTGGCTCTAACTGTCGTGACAACTGTCGCAGTCCAAGAATAAGGACAGATTTATGGGAACCGTCGCAACTCGTGTGTCGTAAAACTCATTTTTTCTTGTAGTGAAATAAAGACCAATTACAACAAAAAAAACAAAAAAAACTCAAACACAATAAAAAATATCAAAATAAATAAACAATACATATCATCTTAATTCTATATTTAAAAACTAACTACTAAAAGAATCCAATTTAGAATTTACACAAAACCAACAATGATAACAATAACATTCCATAAAACATCACAGTGCATAAAATAGTAATGCATAAAATATCAACACCGAACGGTCTCACTGTTTACATTATATAGACTCTTATATTGACCATTCTTTAATAGTTAAATCTTAAATTTGTCACACATACACAATAATCAAATCCTTTATTTTCATAAAATCAACATCTATTTTTAAAGAAAACATCTTGCTATATTGAAACTTAATAATTATGCATGTCATACATTTGTTCTTTTATTTCAATCATTTTCAATCAACGCATGTATTAAAAAGTTATAGAAAGAACGTTCCAATTATAATTCAATTTGTTTGTATATTAATTTATAATACAATTCTAAGAGATAAGTGTTGTTTTTATAATTAAAGTTATTTTAATTCTTAATAAAAAGAGTAAAATTTTAAAAAAAAAGTTCACGGGGAAAACCCGTCCCGCCCCGCCTCAATCCGCTTTTTTAAGCGGGTTAGACGGGGCAGACTAACTTAAGATACCGAGCCAAGAATCTCAGCCCAGCGAGTCAAACGGGCCAACCCGGTGGATCCAACCCATTTTGCCACCTCTAAAAATGAGTGACTCCCACTAATCTAAA